TCCTCCAGCTCCTCACTGTGTTATCTTTGTATAATTCTCAGAACGTTTGTATGTGTGTACAGAGAAAGGTATGCTTGTTTTAATGTGTTGCATCATATGTTCCACCTTGATTCATGAATCTAAGAGTTGTTCATGCCTACGACCAGAAAATTTACTGAGCTGGGCCTTTGAATGTATGGATGTGTTGGCAGATATGGTGATGCCATTGTTCTCAGCTGGAATGGAGATAGATTGGGTAATAAGCCTAGAGACTGCACTGCTGTTAGTGATTGGGATTGATTTTACACACAATTTGTATGCAAGTGCACTACACTCACTGCAATGTGTAGAGAAAGATCAGTTGTAACATGTAACTATCTCTCAATCACTCCACTTTAGTAGGGAGTTCACTTTCTTTTTTTAAATCAGGCTAAGTGGCTACAGTTTTGATCATGAGGTTGTTTGCTGTTTTGTGGACACATTCTTCAAATAGCCTTTGTATACCGTTTGCTGCAATGTGCTGTTCAAACAGACACTGCTTGCAAAGTAAATAGACTTTGTTTAAGTCTATCTCACATCTCACCCCCATTTTAAACTCACTGGCTGTCAGAATAATGGCATAGACAGTGTGGTGTTGGATTGCCTATAACAATATTGGCTGAGGTATCACATTTTTCCTTAGATTTGTAGATGCAATGCAGTAAGAGTTCCTGTCTACAGACCTACACTAAGCCCTTTAACACCTACAGTGACCAAACAATGAAACCCCTTCCATTGATTAAGCAGACATACAAAGCATGCAGTTTCAGAAACATTGAGTAGAAAGTAATAAAAATGGACTCACCTAACCCACCTGAGCTTGGCTCACATTCATCAATGTCCTCATCATCGCTTGGACATTCAGCAGATGCAACCAATAGATCATCTGTGCTCTGTGGTGTAAAAAGAGAGCTAAAACTCAGTGCCTTTTTGTTCCGAATATTATGACTTATTTACAACAGATAACAATTTAAAAAACCAGCAGACTATCTATAATTGAAAAAGTTTCAACATTTGTGTTGTGATTCATAGTCAATTTTTAAAAAAATGTCATTATCCTTAATTCAACACAAACAATCTCAATCAAATGTTATATTCCTCTTTCGTGTAAGTGCTGTTAAATTGCTCAGAACCTCCAATGTGTAACAAACCATTGTCAGTGCTGAAGATTTCTCAAGCGAGTGATGATAAACATAAACAAAGAGCATTTCAGAAGTCTTACAGACAATTGTAATGTTCAGCAGCAGAAATACATCTTTCTTTAATGGCAGGTCATAGAGAGATTAGAATGCAGAACATACGCTCTATTTTCCAATACAGGGAAGATTCTCAACACTAAATTCTGGCTTAGTAATGTGGTTTCAAAGGGAGTTCCGATGAAAGCTCATCCAGTTTACGTGAAGTAAAAGGAGTCTGTTGTAAAGGCCAAACATCTGTAAATTTCCTTCAGGACTCAATATGGAGTTTAATAATTGTGGAATTTGAAGAACCTCCTCCATGTTCCTAACCGACCTACACACCTCAGGTTTGTTATGGGTTGATCCCAGCACAGCCAACTCATTTTCCACAATTCACAGTTCTCATTAGTACTCTACCCACCACTTATCTCCTTCTCAGCTTTTCATCAACAATCCTTTTGTTTGCGTCTCCTTTTATTTCTCTCTCTCTCTCCCTCTCCAGGCACTGTCTCTGATGAAGGGTCTAGGCCCGAAACTTCAGCCTTTCTGCTCCTGTGATGCTGCTTGGCCTGCTGTGTTCATCCAGCTCTGCACCTTGTTGTCACTGTCTCTATGTATTCTGTTCACTCCCTCCAATACCTCACCCCCTCTCAACAGCATAAAATACCCTGCATTCCCAGTTGCTTTCAATTCGAAAAAAATGTCTCTGGACTCAAATATTAACTCTGCTTCTCTTTTGGCAGATGCAGCCAGACCTGCTGAGTTTCTACAGCACTTTCTGCTTTTATTTGTAAATTGCAAGTGGCTTAGGAATTAAGGACAAGTGTTCTGTACATTGTTTATGCAAAATCAAACTGCTCTCACAGCGAGACCAATTAACCATGGATAGTGTAAACAAATATCTGGATCTACATTTGAATTCAAGAAATTTTGTGCACAAAAACAAACACAGATGGTCCCCATAAAGGGTCTATGCAAGTATTCCAGCAGCACAACTTCCAATCAACTTCAAATATATCGACTCCTGACTCAGTAGTGAATATTCAGGCCTTAGTTTCTGACTTACTGGGCCACAAGAAATAGGAGCATATGTACACCACTTAGCATGTTGAGCCTGCTCCACTATGTAATATGATCATGGCTGATCGTGGATTTCAAATTTACTTTTCCACCTCTTCCCTACATCCCTTGGTTTCCTGAGGAGCCAAGCACCTACTTATCATGGCTTTAGATATCGTTCGTGATTTTTAAAATTAATTTGTGGGATGTGGACATTGTTGGCTGGCCTGCATTTATTGCCCATCCCGAGGTGGCCTTGAGAAGGTGGCAATGAGCTGTCTTCTGAAACCACTTGGGGGGTTACAGCATTGACGACGAACGCTTAGTGGTATTATTGCTTGACAATTGATCCAGAAACTCAGCTAATGTTCTGGGGACCCGGGTTTGAATCTTGCCTCAGCAGATGGTGGAATTTTAATTCAACAAAAAAAAACCTGGAATTAAGAATCTACTGATGACCATGAGATCATTGTTGATTGTTGCTATCTTGGATTATAGCATCGACAATCCTCAGGGGTAGAGAATTCCAAAGGTTCACACTCCTTCTGAGTGAAGAAATTATGCCACATCTCAATCCTAAATGAATGCCCCTAATTGTAATATGGAGGCTCTGTTTTGGATTCCCTGACCAACTGAAACAACTTCTTCGCTCTGCCTTTCAAGCCCCTTCAGAATTGTACACCTTGGACCAGATTTTCCTGTAGAAATAGCAGTGAAGCAAATAATACTCATCAAACCTCCCCTCCATTATACGGTCAGAAATGGGGATGTGAATGAATGATACCACAATTTTCTGCACCATTCACAATTCCTCAGATATACACACAGGCTTGGGCTGAATTGTGGCAGGTCAGGCCACACAAATGCCTGCAATGACCATCTCAACCATCCTCCCTTAAATTCAATGGCAGTACCATCATTAAATTCCCTGCTATCACATCCTCGGGTTATAATCGACCAGAAACTTAACTGGACTACCCGTACAGATCCAATGGCTCCAACAGCAAGTCAGAGGCTAGGAATCCTGAAGCGAGTAACTCATCTGCTGACTCCTCAAAGCCTGTCCACCATGTACAAGATAAAGTAACGAGTGTGGTGGAGTAAACTTACTTGCCTGGATGAGCACAGTTTCAACAACACTCAAGAAGCTGGACAGTAACCAGGCCAAAGCGCCCACTTGATTGGCAGCATATCCATAAACATTCATTCCCTCCACGACTGATACTGAGTAGGAGCAGTTTGTATCATCCAGATTGCTTAGACAGTATCTTTCAAACCATGACCAATTCCATCAACAGATGCACGGGAACACCACCACCTCCAAGTTCCCCTGAAATTGGCACAGTGGCTCAGTGATTAGCACTGTTACCTCACACCGCCAGGGACCCAGTTTCAATTCCACCCTCGGGCAACTGTCTGTGTGGAATTTGCACGTTCTCCCTGTGTCTGTGTGGGTTTCCTTCGGGTGCTCCGGTTTCCTCGCACAGTCCAAAGATGTGCAGGTTGGGTGGATTGGCCATGCTAAATTGCCCATAGTGTTCAGGGAGGTGTAAATTAGGTGGATTAGCCATGGGAAATGCAGAGTTACAGGGTTAGGGTAGGGGGATAGGTCTGGATGGGATGCTCTTCAGATGCTCTTATGTATTTATCAACAACCTCACAGAGTAATTTATACTAATTTGGAGGTTAATTCCTCCAGATATTCATGATTGTTGGAGGTTTAAAAATAATGGGTTTTTATTTCTCTCACTTCTTTCTTTCTTTCACCCTCATTATTTTGCTTCCTATACAGTATTTGATATTGGATTAACAATACTAACTGATACTCCCTGGTTCAACCTCTGCTATTCATTAACAATTCTTCAATCTGATTGTTTAAGGAGATGCATAGTTGCTTGTTCATTCTCATAGAATCCTTATAGTGTGGAAGCAGGCCATTTGGCCCATCACTCTTTCCCTGTAACCCTGCGTTTCCCATGGCTAATCGACCTGGCATGCAAATCTTTGGACACTGTGGGCAATTTACCATGTCCAAACCACCTAACCCGCACATCTTTGATCTGTGGGAGGAAACCAGAACACCTGGAGGAAACCCAGGCAGACAAAGGGAAAACATGCAAACACCACACAGACAGCTGTCCGAGGCTGGAATCAAACCTGGTACTGTGAAGCAGCAGTGCTCACCACTGAGCCACTGTGCCACCCTAAGGTCCCAGATTCCTTGCAGAAGGTTTTTTGGATAATTGGCTTACTGTGCAAAATACCTACAGATATCATATTAGTAAATAAATGTCTGAAGAACAGTGCAAAATCTGGTCCAATATCTCCCATTGCAGTGTATCTTTCAGAAGTTATGTCTGTTGCCATTTCCCAATGCTGTTACTTGTTGATTTTATCAGAAATTTTCTAAAACAATTTTTTTTTCAATGCAAGCAGATTATCTTCTAAAACAATTTAGTTCTTAACATCAGACTGTGAATTAGAATAGGCACTGTGAACTCCGTGTCCAAACATACGAGCTATTTTCCCTGTTATTTTAAAAGAGGCAAAGAATTTATCATTAAGATCAGATACACTCAGCAATACTATGCCTAACATAAACTGAGCACAATGAAGCGACTTTTGAATAAATTGCATACTCAGTAGGATTTGTCACTTCTTCAATGCAGAGAACTAGGATGCAATGGAAGAATCAAAAATGGCATAATTACAAAAGAGCAGCCTTAATTTAAACAATTTTTTCAATTATTAGAGTTATGAAATTATATTTTGGAGTGTGTCTTTAAATGTATGTTAAAATGAAGAAGGTTATGCGACTAATTCAAATTCTGCCCAGCAACAAGCCTGGCTTTGTCAAGGGACTGACTGAGCAAAGTGTGAAATTTTCACACCTAGGAAGAAGGGCAAGGGCAGCTCTGCGAGCAGTATATACACTTGCGGGCTTCAAAAAAAATAAAAGAGAGGGGAAAGAAAAAACAGTTGGTGTGGTCAGCGAAGAGGATGCAGGTCTTTTATGAGCTATCAAATCTAGAGACAATCTCTAGTCAAAGCAATGTAACCCTCAACATCGAAAGAATCAGGGAGGATTCATCCTGGCATGGCCAAGGGGAAAGGAAAATCATCAGAGTGAACTATCTTGTTGGTAGTGGGAAACTCTCCAAAATCTGAGGGAATTGACTTGAGAAGGTCACTCAACGTCACTCCTCAGCAAAACAGGAAATCATGAACCCATTGGAAATTAGGCAGACCAATGGACTGTTACCTATATCAGTTTAAGTCTATAGCGAGTGAGATAAGTATAAAAGAGCAATGTTTCTTTCTGTAAAATGCCCTTCAAGGATAACATTTAGTTAAAATTGTTTTGAATCATTTGTTGCAGTAAAATAACTTAAAATGACTTCCTTTTCAACAATTAATTGCAAGTTTGAATTTCTTTTTGAACCTTATGAGTGTCGACAGGTAACAGAATGCTAAGTGTTGAGTCCACCTTTCCTGTGTGCATCAAAGTTAACATGTAAAAATGGACAGAAAAAGCTCAAAGTACCATTGAAAATTCAGGCACAAACCAGTCAGGTGTGCAAAAAAAAATTAGAATGCAGTTCACATGGGGAGGAGAAAAAAAACAAATTTCATTTTGAAGGAGTAGATTAACTGAG